AAGCCCCCCTTCCACACACACACACAGATAGCCCTTTCTGTAGCTTTGTGATTAACTTCAAACAAACAAATCGCTAAGCATTTTAATTGTAGAGTGTGTTTTAGAATTTTGCGCAAAGCTACACAAGGGTTTTCTACACATAGCCATCCCTTGGTTTGAGCCTCCCAGTAGCGCAGCGGTATGTATACGGACTTACAACGCTAGAAACCGGGTTTCGATACCCGTGGTGGGCAGAGCACAGATAGCCCATAGTGTAGCTTTGTGCTTAACTTCAAAAAACAACAACAAACAAATAACCCCTTGGTTTGAACTGGTAGGCTAGAGGGAAGGCAGCTAGCCTACCGCACCTACCACCAAATCTTAGGATATTTTTGTCTGAATGACTTGACCACCAGTCTTCTAGCGCACCCATGACTCAAAGTGTGTTCAATGCAAAATTACCCGTGCTACGCGTGACATTAAACGTCACTTTCGTTTTGCGTCGATTTCACGTATTTTGTTACCGACATCTTTCCTCATTTGAGCCCTTATTCGCGACATTGAGCCGGTAAACTTGAAAAGGTTACCAAATCCAAGCAAAGCTCCTGAACAAGATGAAATGCAAAGCATACTTCTAAAAAAACGCCCCCTGAAACTGTAAGAACATTTAAAAGCGTTGTTCAATCTATCATTTAAATGAGGCTACTTACTTGCCGCTTGGAAACAGGCTGACGTTCGTATGCCAAACGAAGGACGTCAGCAAAGAATTCTGAAAACTACAGACCTCTTAGCTTGACCAGACTGTCTAAGTAAAGTTTTAGAAAAAAAAATATAAACAGCAGCTTATTGGCTTATCTTTAAAATACTAACAAATTACCGGAGGTCCAAAAACAAATTCTGCCAATGAAGGCAAAAAACAGACCACTATCTCGTTCTATTTTAACAGATATTGCTAGCTTGATGGCAGTGTTATTTTAACAGGAAAAACCGTTTGTACCAAGAAACTTAAACTACATTTTAGAAGAAATCTACATGAAAACATTTAAAATTAGTTTCACAAAGAGTTGTATAAGGTCAAAAAGGTTTTCAAGTAAGTTCTGTTGTACGTTATTTTAAGTAGAAAGAAAAATTATGGATTTAACTTCCCTATCAAAACAAATGTACCACGCTCGTTCGTAGCTCAATCTCGACGTTTTCGCAATCCGACTTTTCACTTTTAGGCGTGGTACGGTTTGATGGTTAGGGTACTCCTTTCGCAATCTGCGGATCGTAAATTCGAATCCCGTCAACGAACATGCTCGATCTTTCAACCGTGGGGACACTATAATGTGACCATCAATCCCATTAGTCGCTGGTAAGGTATGGCCAAAGACTTGATGGCGGGTGGTGTGGACTAGCTGCCTTCCCTTTAGTTTGTCACTTCAAAATTAGGGACGGCAGCGCAGATAGCCCTCGAGCAGCTTTACGCGAAATGCAACAAACACAAACGCCTTTACGTTCAGTTTGAGCGTAAACAGATTACAGGCGTAAACACAATAGCACTAGATGTTTATTTTACGCATTATCAAGGGGCATAAATCACTTGATTAACATAGTTTCTTTAGCAACACTCTTTATTAAAACAGTGAAAGGTTAAAATATAGAATTTTCTAGCTGTGGTTTTGCAGATGTTAAGA